TTAAGTGAGGCATCGGGTGCCGGTCTCGCCCCTTAGGTTTGTGCGTGACATATGAATATTCATATTATCCGACAGATAATCCGTTTTTTATCCGTCTCAAATACGGGTCGGGTCGGATAATTTGTCCATTTTTTGAATTACCTATTTTTTACCCGCTCATATTCGACCCGACCCGCTCGTTTGCCACCCCTAACTCTGATGTTTACATCCATCTTTTGAATGTTTAGGATAGGATGTGAGTATTTGACAATTGGATTTGTTTAGTGGCAATTTTCAAGGTATAATTACTAACTTTGTAATTACTATCTTAGTAATTATACTAATAAGTAATAACACATGACTTTGAATTGTATATGTTAACAAAATGTTTTTATGATATTAATTTGAAGAATTTAAAACTTAGTGGGGTTTCATACCTTTTTAAATATTTAAATATTTATTTTAGAAAATAATAAGTTCGATTTAACATCAAAAAGTAGTGAATTTGGCTCTGGAAAAATAAAGAGTGCAAAAGAGTTGGGAGAAATAATAATTATTTGTTGGATATTAGTGAAATTGCTTTAATACATAATTTGACTTCCATTCTAGTACCCTTTCTTCTTTGAGTTGGAAAAAAAAAAGGGCGATAGAAATTAACATTACTTGCAAATTATTATTGGAAGAATGGGATGTAATATCTTCTTGAACAAGAAAGTTTTCTTTAAAAAGGAGGTAATTTCGTGAATTGTCAACTATACTGACGTGTAAAGTCCACCTTTATTTCTTATTTGTTTATAGAAATCCAAATTGCGTAATCAACACCGGATGTTATGTTTCACTCTCGAAAATTTCTACTATTTGTTATTTGTATACGGTCATAACCGGGCTTGCCTTTCCATATGATTAATCGAGACTGGAATATGATAGGCCAAGGTTCAACCTCGTACTATATCGAACCATGGTGCAAAGTTAGATCGCCGAGCTCATGACCCAAGATCGAGACCGAGCAAGATAGAGATCGAGCGAGATCGAGGAAGCTTACCGAGCCAAATAACGAAAAGCCGAAATATCCGCAATCGGGCGAGGATCACGGAGGAAGTCCCGGCACGTATCAAGAAGAGGCCGATTAATTAGCTAATCATGAGATTTCTTACCTCATATAGAATTGTATCAAGAGTAGGACTTCCTTACTATATAAAGGGGGAGTATGATCATTTGTAAACGACATCATTCTTACACAATACAAAGCAATAAACTGTCATTTTCTAGCTTTCATTATCGTGTTACTCTGTTCATAAGTCAGTTGAAACATCTTTTGGTTCAAAGGTGAATGAACTCGAGGGCCAAGGCTATTCAATTTGTGTGATTTGCATTTATTCTTTCATCGTCAATTTCAATATTAATTTATTCTTCTTAATTTGTACTAAGTGATATCACGTATCCTTAAAATCGCGTATAAATTCAATTGTTATTCGATTTTAGGGTAAACAATTTGGCGCCCACTGTGGGGCTAAGAATAATAGTGGTTACCTGGTACAGACATTCGTGACACACACTATTTTACACTTATTCTTTGAAGTATATTTGATTACAAGACAAAAAATGGCATACTCTCAGTTAGCACATCTACACGTTGACAATGATTTCGCCACCACGGCAAAAATGATAACATAGCACCAGGGAACGATGTACTCCCGGTTGGCTTCGATAGAGTTCCGGCTGTAGATCCAATAGATGTCAGTTCACATGTAGCCATCAACAGAAATTTGGCCGTCGATCCCGAAGGCAGCATCCGTGGCGATGCCCGATCAACCGCTCAAAGCGCATGTGGCGGTGAAGATAGCGGGATCAGCCTGCGGGTGATGTTCGAAATGTTGCAGGCTCAACAGGCAGCAATAGCTCAGCTCCAAAACCAGAATCACACACCGAGCAGAGTCGAACTCGAGCCATCCCAGGAAGTTGTACACAGGGTCGAATCAGTTTCAAGGAAATCGAGCGAGAAAGAATCAGAGACTAATCCTGCTATGATGAAGATGCTCGAAGAACTAACAAAGCGAATCGAGTCGGAGGGAAGAAGATCGAGGAAAACGACAAGAATGTGGAAACTTATAACTCCAGGGTCGATCAAATCCCGGGGGCACCGCAAATATTGAAGGGACTGGATTCCAAAAGTTCATACAAAAAACTTCCCCCCCGAGTGCGGCTCCGAAGCCAATCCCCAAGAAGTTCTGCATTCCCGAGATTCCTAAGTATAATGGAACGAACGATCCAAATGAGCACGTCACCTCTTACACGTGTGCTATCAAAGGGAATGATCTAGAGGACGACGATATCGAATCTGTCTTGCTAAAGAAATTCGGGGAGACCCTGTCGAAGGGAGCCATGATATGGTACCATAATTTACCGCCTAATTCTATTGACTCATTTGCTATGCTTGCAGATTCTTTCGCAAAGGCACACGCCGGGGTCATCAAGGTCGAAACCAGGAAGTCGAACCTTTTCAAGGTAAGGCAGAAGGACAACGAGATGCTCAGAGAATTCGTGTCTCGCTTCCAAATAGAACAGATGGACTTGCCACCAGCTGCTGACGATTGGGTTGTTCAAGCTTTCACTCAAGGACTCAACAGTCGAAGTTTAGTGGCTTCACAGCAATTGAAGCAGAATTTGATAGAATACCCAGCTGTTACTCGGGCCGATGTGCATAATCGGTATCAAACTATGATCAGGGTCGAGGACGATCAACTTGGGTCTCCTTCTGGGTCCGTTTATCCTATCAGACCCATCGATAGAATCAAGAGGGATACTAACCGAGAACCAAGGACGAATAGAGATCAATATCATCCATATAATGGAGATCGTAGGAGCAGCGGATCTGGGCGAAACTCTGCACGAAATGAAAGAAGAAATAATCGAGGTCAAAGCTCACGGGGACTCATGAGCAAGAACGACTTCGATAGATCTATCGGTCCAAAGAGGCACCACGATTATCGGAGTACAACTTTAATGTTGATGCGGGTGCCATCATATCGGCTATCGTGCGCATCAAAGAAACCAAATGGCCTCAACATTTGAAAACCGATCCAACACAAAGGGATCCCAACCAAATATGCAAATATCATGGCATACATGGCCACAGGACGGAGGATTGTCGACAATTGAGGGAAGAAGTAGCTCTGTTGTTCAACAACGGTCACCTTCGAGAATTTCTGAGTGACCGAGCTAAGAATCATTTGAGAAATAGGGACTCAACAAACAAAATGAACAAGACGAGCCCCAGCACGTCATCCATATGATCATCGGAGGGGTCGATGTTCCTCAAGGTCAGATGATAAAACGCACAAAGTATTAATCACAAGGGAAAAACGGACCTGAGATTACCTACCAAAAGGGACTCTATCTTTCAACGACGAGGATGCAGAAGGAATCATGCAACCCCATAATGATGCACTGGTAGTTTCTGTGCTCATGAATAAAACTCAAGTTACACGTGTGCTGATTGATCCAGGTAGCTCGGCCAACATCATTCAATCAAGGGTCGTAGAACAACTCGGCCAACAGGACCAGATCGTACCTCCGACCCGAGTGCTAAACGGATTCAACATGGCTTGCGAAACTACTAAGGGAGAAATAACGTTGCCGGTAAACATAGCCAGTACCACCCAGGAAACCAAGTTTTATTTAATCGAGGCGGACATGAGATACAATGCCCTATTCGGGAGACCATGGATCCACAACATGAGGACCGTGCCCTCGACCCTTCACCAAGTACTAAAATTTCCAACACCAGAAGGGATAAATACGGTTTATGGGGAACAACCCGCCGCAAAGGAGATGTTTGTTGTCGATGAAGTAATGCCAATATAAACACTCTCTTCGACAAAGGGATCATGTTCGAAAGCGAAACAGAAGCCAAATAGCAATCATCGATTCCAGCCTCGACCCAATCAGACAAGCAAGGGATTGACGAAGCCGACGACTACGGGGTTCCTTGATCCTTTATCGCCCCCGATGATTTCGATGCTACCAAATCAACGGTCGAAGAGCTGGAGCAGGTCGTGCTGATAAAACATCTTCCCGATCGAAAAGTATACCTGGGCACGGGGTTAACTCCCGAGCTCAGGAAAAACTCGTTCAATTTCTTACAGTTAATATGGATTGTTTTGCTTGGTCCCATCTCGATATGACAGGGATCCCCCCAGAGATCACTACTCACAAACTGAGCTTAGATCCGAAGTTCCGTCTGGTAAAGCAGAAAAGGAGACCCCAGTCCGAGATCAAGCATGCCTTCATCAAGGACGAGGTAACTAAACTCCTTAAAATAGGGTCCATCTGGGAGGTCAAATACCCGAAATGGTTAACAAACGTAGTAGTAGTTCCTAAGAAAGGGAACAAACTAAGAATGTGTGTATATTATAAAGATTTAAATAAGGCATGCCACAAAGACTCCTTCCCTTTGCCTAACATCGATCACATGATCGATGCCACGACCGACCATGAGATCCTCAGTTTTCTCGATGCCTACTCCGGGTATAATTAAATACGGATGAATCCGGATGATCAAGAAAATACCTCTTTCATAACTAAATATGACACATACTTCTATAACGTAATTTCATTTAGATAAAAAAAAATGTCGGTGCCACTTACCAACGACTACAATACCGAATGTTCGAAGAACAAATAGGGAAATCCATGGAAGTTTACATTGATGAAATGTTAGTTAAGTCACTACGAGCAGAGGACCATTTAAAGCATTTGCAGGAAACCTTCAGTATAATGAAGAAGTACAACATGAAACTGAATCGAGAAAAGTGCGCGTTCGGAGTCGGATCGGGTAAATTCCTCGGGTTCATGGTGTCCAAACCGAAGAATGAAGATCAACCCTGACAAAATCAAAGCTATCGAAGATATCACGATTGTGGATAATGTCAAGGCCTACAAAGGCTGACCGGGCGCATTGCAGCACCGGGGCGACTCATCTCGAGGTCTTCGATAAAAGTCGTCGATTTTATTTTGCTGGCAATTAAACAAATTAGTCACTAAAGAACCTAACTTTTATTTTTAATCTTCCCTCTAGAGGAGACCCTATACTTTTTATTTCCCTCTCTTCTTTTAATCCTCCGGCCCTTGGCTTGTTTTCTATTTACTATTCTTATTTCTCTTATTTTCGTCCATCAAAATTATTTCAGGATCTCGTTAGCCCATATCCACAACCAGAAGGGAAGAAAAGGATGAACACAGACATTATAACAGTAGCAAAGCTCGAATAACCGGCTGCAGATCAAAACTCTTTGCCTTACCACCTACATCTTCGTCACTGCCGGTTACCTCTCTGGTACTTTCGCAATCTATATTTTTTTTTTTTGTCATTTGCTATTCACATTCTTATATAGATTTGGTAGTTGTTGATTATTTTTCTTTATTCCATTTTGGCATGAATAAAACTTGAGATTATGAGGCTACCAATGCTAGGCTCATGGGTTGGTTCATGTACAAGTGCTAGAATCTTGCAGGTATATTATGGGTTTTTTCCCCATTGGAGAAAGGTAGGCAGCTAAGTACAACAAATAATTGTTTATAATTCGGTTTTATCTTTTAGTTTGGCGTTTGTTTGATGCTTATTTTGTAATTAAAAGAGTATGGGCTTACTTACGATTCTTTTGTTTTTACTATATTGCTAGTGATCTAGTTTGATTTGAATTCATTTGCTTAGACAATATTACTTTTGGTGTTTGCTCCAAGAGGACAAACTTAAGAAGCCTATGAAGTGTTTGATAAAATGTCATATAGAAATATTCTCGCTTGGATAATAATGATTTGGTTATAGTATTTTACAAATATTATTTTAAATTGTTAAGAGGTGAGAAGTCAATTCTAGGCATTCTTAGATTGAAAAACTTTAATGTTTTTAATCATGAGTTAAATTAGAGTCGTTTCAAATGTTAAATTCGAAGAACAATAGAAGTATCCCTGAGCTAATGAGGCTTCTAAGTTGTGATGTTACTCGTTATCAGTGTTATATTTGTAAATGAAGATATTATGTTGAGGATATTTAAATTAGTTGAAAGATTCTAAAATAACACGTTTAGTACAAACATGAAGAATACTGGATGTCTATTCTCTGTTCTCTTCTGGGGCCAATGTATTATCTAATTTTGAATTAAATTACATAAATTTATTGCTCCGACGTTTTTTATTAGAAATATCTAATTCAAGTTTATTAAAATAAGAAATGGAGTATTTATGGTTCTTAAAATTAGATGAGATGGGGAAGTGTTGCTACAGCTGAATTTGTCATGAGTGGGGAAAAATTAGAACTGCATCTAATGTACGTGACAAGAATTAAATGAATTTTTAATTTTTGTGTTCTCCATAAGTAGCTAAGATTATTTTTTACAATTGAAAACCAATGTGAAGTCTATTGTATTAATAAGATGTTCAGACATTCATCTTTTTCATTTATATTTGTAGTTGCATCGAGCATGGTTAAGTAGGTGGAGAAATCGCTTTCACAACCAGTTACAGTAAGTATTCTGCATTGCAACTCTACAAGCAAACTTGCAAGAACGATTTTTCTCAGCTAAAATTAACTTTTTATGTTTTGTATTCTTATTGAACAAAATTTTTACTGCCATTTTTAGTAGAAATTCACTGAACTTGAGGAGAAAGAAAACTTACTACTGAGGAAAAGGGTACGTTTGAAGTGGAAAGGTTTCAAATGGTTTTATATGTTTGTCCAGTATTTTCCAAAAATCAAATCCTTCTTTACTTGTCTGAATGTGTGTTTTACTTACTAACAGGAACTAGCATGTGAACAAAAATGCTAGGGATGAGAATTTGACTAGAGAATCAAGGTTCATTTTTTCCTTCATTGTTTACATTTCAACTATAGATAAATTAATCCCATTTCATGAGTAAATGCACTAGGTTTTATGAAACTTATGTTTTGCAGTTCAATTTAAATTTACAATCCACAAATAACATGGCTGCAGAATTAGTATCCAATGGATGCAACTTGCTGGAGTCAACAAGAACTGACTTTCTACGGTCAATGAAGATGATTTGTTATAACTCATCTAATTATGATATCCTTGGAGGCAGAAATTGACACAGAAAGAATTAGATTTGTCAGGAGGAGAAAAAACTATTGTTGGATTCAAACGGTGTATTTCTTTTCTTTTTTTGCTGAAACTCTAAAGTATGCACTTGTAATTATCTCTGTATATAATGAATTTAATGAAACACCTTATTCTTCCTAGAATAAATATTTGCATATTTTGTTATGTACATTTATGTTATTATATATGTGTAATTTTTTTATCACCTTAATGTCGAAAAAGCTTATTGTTGCCCGACGATTAGCATTTGCCAATCTATGCATAGTTTTACCGTCAATAAGAAAGGTCATTAAAGGTTCTCTTTAACGGCAATAAAATTGATATGTACGGACCACAAAAAATGCTACTAAAACCAAATAGAAGGCTAATTCTGGGATAATTTTAGTGGCTATTGTAATTGCCGGTATATAAATGCCACTAAATGTCAGATCTTTTAGCGGCAATAAATGAGACATTTCCAGTACTCAATCTAATTGCCGCTAAAACCTTTAGCGTCGCTGGATACAACGGCTAATGATTAATTGCAGGTAAAATTTTTTACGGCAATAACAATTGCCGCTAAAAAGCTTTTTTGTTGTAGTTCGATACTTATCGAGCCCACCATTGCTTCACACACCGAGGGCAGACGAACGACTATACTTGTATCTAGCAGTATCAAAAATAGCGGTAAGTGGAGTCCTAGTCTGAGAAGAACAAGGTACGCAATTTTTAATTTATTATGTCAGTAGGACCTTAGGTGAGGCCGAAACTAGATACCCTCACCTAGAAAAATTGGTACTCGCCTTGCTAAGTGCCTCTAGAAAACTGAAACCATATTTTCAGTGCCACCCTATATGTGTTGTGATAACCTACCCTTTACAAAATATAATGCATAAACCCGAACTCTCGGGACGATTGGCCAAATGGTCCATAGAAATCAGTTGGCGCGATATCGAATATCAACCCCGAACATCCATTAAATCTCAGATTTTGGCAGATTTCGTGGCCGACTTTACGCCGGCCCTAATACCCGAGGTCAAAAGAGAGTTATTGGTAAACTCGGAAACATCTTTGGGAATCTAGACCCTCTTTACGGACGGTACCTCGAACGTAAAAGGGTCCGGACTTGGCATCGTACTGAAGCTGCCCACAGGAAATATAGTTAGACAATCTATTAAAACTGTAAAAAATTGACTAACAACGAGGCCGAATATGAGGCCATGATTGCAGGTCTCGAACTAGCCAAATGCTTGGGGGCGGAGGTGATCGAAGCTAAATGTGACTCCCCCGTTGCAGTAAATCAAGTAAACAGAACGTTCGAGGTCAGAGAAGAACAAATGAAAAGGTACCTGGACAAGTTACAGGTAACGTTACATCGTTTCAAAGAATAGACTTTGCAGCACGTTCCCCAAGATCAAAACAGTGAAGACGATGCCTTTGCAAACTTAGGGTTGTCGGTCGAAGACGACGAGCTCAACTCGGGGGCGGTTCTACAACTCATAAGATCGGTAGAAGAGGAAGGTTACGCCAAAATAAACTCCACAAGTTTAACCTGGGATTGGAGAAATAAATACATAGAGTATTTGAAGACCGGAAAACTTCCTTAGGACCCCAAGGAATCGAGGGCCCTACGCACAAAGGCAGCCCGATTCAACTTGTTCGAAGACGGAACCTTGTTCAGGAGAATGTTCGATGGCCCGCTAGCAATATGTATGGGACCGAGAGATACCGAATACGTTATAAGGGAAGTTCATGAGGGCACTTGCGGTAATCATTCAAGCATCGAATCATTGGTTCAAAAGGTGATCAAAGTCGGTTATTACTGGATCGACATGGAAAAGGTTGTGAAGGAGTTCGTGCAAAAATATGGCAAGTGCCAATGGTAATCTCCAATGTTTCACCAAGCCGGGGAGCTATTGCATTCGGTCTTGTCACCATGGCCATTCATGAAATGGGGGATGGACATCGTTGGCCCTCTTCCATTGGCACCAGGTATGGCTCAATTTGTCATATTTATGACTGACTATTTTTCTTAATGGGTTAAAGCACAGGCATACGAGAAGTTCAGGGAGAAGGAAGTTATCGACTTCATTTGGGACCACATCATATGTCGGTTCGGGATACCATCCGGAATTGTATATGAATATGATAACGGAAAACAGTTTCTCGGCGGCAAAGTGACCAAAATTTCTCGAAGACTATAAGATCAAAAGGATCTTATCGACACCTTACCACCCTAGTGGGAACGGACAAGCCGAATCGACCAACAAAACCATAATCCAAAACCTCAAGAAAAGGTTGACTGACGCCAAGGGAAAATGGAGAGAGATCCTGCCCGTAGTTGATTGGGCACATCGCACAACTTCGAAGTCCAGTACCGTGGCTACCCGTTCTCATTTGTTTATGGGGCCGAAGCTCTACTGGTCGAAGTCGGGGAGCCGAGTATCAGATTCCGATATGCAACAAAGAAATCAAATGACGAGGCCATGAATACTAGTCTGGAGCTATTGGATGAAAGGCGTGAAGCTGCCCTTGTTCGATTGGCCGCCCAAAAGCAACGGATCGAGAGGTATTACAATTGAAGAGCCAACCTTCGATACTTCAATATTGGGACTTAGTACTAAGAAAGGTCATGCTAAGTACCTGGAATCCGAACGAAGGGAAATTGGGTCAGAACAAGAAAGGATAATACCAGATTCTTGAGGTCACAGGGAAAGGATCCTATAAGCTCGAAATGACAAACGGAGAACAACTACCAAACGATTGGAATGTATCTCACCTTAAATGATATTACTGTTAAGGTACGACCCCATTTCAATTCTTTGTTTTTGGACTAACGCTTGCAGGTGATCGACAAGGAGCGGCACGAAATCTTTAGGTCTGAAAGCACGTGTTGTACTCTTTTTCCCTTGAACCGTTTTTATGCCAATTGGGTTTTTCGGTAAGTTTTTAACGAGGCAACAATGGATTGTGCTAACTTAGAATCAAAGGCCGATCACAAATAGGTGTCGAAGACAACACTAACAGTATCTGAGGTTCCTCTACAATCAACCTTGAATACTCGGGGGGCATTACCCTCGGATGTCAACTTTTTGCGAGGAAATTACTTCGTAATAGAAGGGTCTCAATAGGTAAGATTTGTTGTAAGGGCCAAACGGTCAAACGAACCGTGCCCATATAGGTTTCTCGAGCTCTCGCATAAAACATGTACGTATGTGTAACTATTTTTCACAAGAATAAAGAGAAGTACTTTCCTTGTGATTATCTTATGTCTTAGAAAAAATTTCCACTTTACAGTTTCATACTTTTGATTTCTTAAGGAAATAAGCTCAATGGCCGATTATATCCAGAGTTCGGATGATCACCCCTACACTCGGGGACTACCGTCCAAAAAACAAACTCGAACAGATCGAACTATTAATCATCGGGGGCATAAGACCTCTTAAGCAACCCTCGAATTTTAAAGGCCACGTCCATACCCACTCGGGGATTGTTATCTTAGGCAAGCCTGGATAACTCGGGAAAACAAGCTCACTGGGCTGCGCCCGAATAAAAAGTCTACGGACGCATTAACACAGCTCGGAGACGTCCGACAACTGTAACAATAAATAGGCCTTCGAAATTTTCATAACCGGTTTTAAAGGCTACCCTTGAGCAAACTATGTTCTGAGTTAATTACTTTGGGAGAAGGTTCCTGGTAACCCCGAACCTCCAAGATGACTCAAAAACAAAAATAATGTAAAGGTAGGGTTGCTCGAACGTACACAACCTAAGCTATTTTATTCCAACCTTTGTGAATACAAGTAATAAAGCAAAGGAAATATTCGAAAGCCAAAATTAAAAAGAAAGACTTTTATATATTTACACAATAATGTTTTATAGAAGCCAAAATGGCTTAATTCAAAAAATTTACAATGGCCGAAATGGCCTAAAAAAGATGCAAAAGAAAAGCAAAAAATATAAAGGCCTAAGTCGCCTGGTCTTCATCGGAGGCAACATCTCCACCCTCGGGATCTTCCCCGCCTTTAGACTCACTTAAACTATCCGAGTCTTCCTCGGGAAAGGCCAGCTTCCGAGGCTTGGCTTCCTTTGCTTTGGCATTCTCGAGTTCAGCAAGTATATCGAAGCCCTGAGCATGGACTCCCTCAAGGGCTTCCCTTCGACCTTGCCACTTTGCATGATACACCATGCTTTTGGCCTGCGCCTGGATGGCCTCGACGTCGACCTTATATTGGGCCACTTTAGCATCGGCTTTGGTGTTGGCCACGACCACATCAGATTTGGACGCCTCGAGCTCATTGGCCAAGTTTGCCTTATCAGAAACATCCAAGTCAGATTGGGACTGAAGCTCCTCGATTTTCTTGACCTGCACTGAGGCCTTCTCTCTTGAAGCTCGGAGCTGGATCTCGGCCGACTCCAATTGTGCTTGGGCAGCTTCCCTTTTCGAGTCTAAGATGTCCATATTTTTCTTGAACTCCTCAGCCTCAGCTCGAATTGTATCTACTTGTTCTGAAGCTCTGTGATCTCTTCAAGCCTCTGCCGGACCTGTAGAATCGGATCGTTAGTCATTATCTCAAATTCGTCTCCACTATCGTGAAGCACTAGGAATACCTGCTCGGCAATCTCAGCATGCTTATCCCGAGTCGTTACTGAATCAGCCTGAAGCTTCTCACGGAGAAGCTTATAGGTGTCACTTTTCTCAGTGAGGTCCCGGACCTCGACCTCGTGATGAGTTAATTCCTCCCGATATCGGAGGAAAGCCTCGTGATGCAGCACTGAAGCCTGCAAGCATAAGGGAAGATGTTATGGTTATTTACAACTTTAAAAGTTAGAATATATGAGAAGAAAAGACACGCGAATTTAATAGATTTAATGCTTGTTGGTCTTCATTGAATAGGCAGGGGGTTTCCACCTCGTCCATCACTGCCCGATCCTCTTCTGTCACCAAACACCGAAGGTAACTAGCGACCCCCACGGGGGCAGAGAAAACTCGGGCATCCTCCGGGATAGAAAAAGCTATTGAGCATCTTCGATAAGGATTAACACTTGGGGCCGGGAATCGATCCACCAGTTTTGGGCTCGATGAAGACCCGGTGGCACCCAACGACGTCTCCTTCCTTGGCACTGGCAGGTCACTGAGCCCGGTGAAGTCTTCAAAAGCATCAGAATCAACCCCATCCAAGAAG